CTAAGGCACTTGACTGCTAACCAAAAGGCTGGTGGTTCAAACCCACCAGCCACTCCTCGGAAGGAAGGTTGGGCAATCTACTTCTGTAGTGATACCACCTTGGAAACCCAAGGAGAGGTCACTATGAGTCAGGTCTGACTCCATGGCACATAATAACAACAACAACAAACTATAATCAATGTATTTACAAGAGGTCTTTACCCAGAGTTCCTCTTTGCTCAAAGATAAGCCATCAGATATAAATTATTTTAATATTGTAAGTTTCCCACAGCAGTCTATGTTTTGGAAGATTTATGCTTTGGGAAAACTCAAATGACTTGTTGTATTTGTAAAGTCAAAATTGCCAAGATAAAAGACTTTCCCATATTTCTAAATGACAGTGAAATATTTTTGCTGACTTAACAGATCTGATTTTGTGGAAAGAGCAATAGCAATGTATCTATATCTTCTGATTTAAACTTTAGCACACTTTTTTCTTTTCCCCAATTCAGCAGGTTTAGTAGTCATTACATTCTACATCACTGCACACTTACAGTAGAAAAGTAAAAAATAAGTCACTTACTAATTTCTTTGATAGAGCAGTACAACTACTAATTTGATTAAATCTCAAAACTTGAGTATATGTCTTTTTAATATTAAGTAATGAAATGGAAAATGTACATAAAGGGTTGCTGAAGCATCTCAAAGTTATGTTTGTCTTGAGGAAAGGCAATTGTGTGATTGCTTAAATTGAGGTATACTAGCCATGATTTTTGTCATTGAACGCATTTTTACTGGAAAGAACAAACTATAGGTATTCTAGCTTGGTCAATAGGTAGATATTTCTAAAATACTAATAAAGTAACTTTAACAGTATTGAACCAACTTTCCATTCCTGATATAAGCCCCCTAAGTCATGGTGTATTAACTTTTTCATATATGTTGTTGCTGTTGTTATATGCCATCGAGTCGGCCCTGACTCACAGCGACCCCTCCTTCGGTTTCCGAGGCAGTATCACTACAGAAGTAGGATTGCCCAACCTTCCTTCTGAGGAGTGGCTGGTGGGTTTGAACCACCAGCCTTTTGGTTAGCAGTCAAGTGCCTTAGGCACTATGCTACCAGAGTTCCTTTTCCATATATAGGTGTATTTAATTTGCTAATATTTGTTCAGGATTTTGTGTACCTATCCATAAAGGATATTGGTAGTTTCTTATCTTGTAATGTCTTTGTCTGGATTTGGCATCAGGGTAAACAGACCAAGCATTCCCTCCTCTTCTAGTTTTCAGAAGATCTTGTGTAGACTTAGTATTATTTCTTCCTTAATTATTTGATAAAATTTGCCAATAAAACGGAGAGGTTTTTCTAACTACAATTTCTTCAATGGAGTGAGTATAACTCAGTTTATCAATTTCTTCTGGAAACTGCATTTTAAATTCAAATATTTATCATGGCTAGGACTAAATTAAGGAGCTCTGGTGTTGTAGTGCCTAAGGCACTTGACTGCTAACCAGAAGGTTGGTGGTTCAAACCCACCAGCTACTCCGCGAAGATGGGGCAATCTACTTCCACAAAGATTTACCACCTCAGAAACCCAATGGAGGTCACTATGAGTCAGAACCAACTTGATGGCAGTGAGTTTGTTTTGGTTTTTGTGGTGTAGTGGCTAAGGCATTTGGTTGCTAAACAGAAAGTCACGTATAGCAATCCCCTCTGCTTCCATTAAGATTTACAGCCTTGGAAACCCAAGGGGGGTTGCTATGAGTCAGAACTGACTCAATGGCAGTGAGTTTGGTTTCTTTTGGAAGACTAAGTAAATATCCAAAATGGCCATCGCTTGTAAACATTCAAAATGGCTACACCCTCAGTCACTTTAAATATCCAAAATGGCCATTGCTTGTAAACATTCAAAATGGCTGTGCCCTCAGTCACTTTAAATATCCAAAATGGCTGCCACATGTAAACAATAAAAATGGCTGGACCCTCTGGGACAGTGGAAAGTCCATAGCTCTGGTAGTCTCCCTCCTTGCTGTTTCCCTTCCTAGCACAGACCACCAGTACAGTCGTCCCTGTAGTCCTTGGTGACCAGGGCTGAGTTTTAGGTCAATTCTCAGGTCCCAACACCACTTGAAGTATTCAGACTATACAAAGAAGAATGCAGCATCAGGATTGGAGGAAGGCTCAATAACAACTTGCAATATACAGATAACACAACCTTGCCTGCTAAAAGTGAAAATGACTTGAAGCACTCACTGATGAAGATTAAAAACGACAGTATGGATTACACCTCAACATAAAGAAAACAAAAATCCTCACAACTGGACCAATAAGCAGCATCACATAAATGGAGAAAAGACTGAAGTTGTCCAAGATTTCGTATTACTTGGTTCCACCATCAACACCAATGGAAGCAGCAGTCAAGAAATCAGATGATGTATTACACTGGGCAATTCTGCTGCAAAAAACCTCTTTAAGAGGCTGAAGAGCAAAGATGTCTTTTTGAAGACTAAGATGCTCCTGAACAAGGAAGACCAAAGAAGAGTTGATGCCTTTGAGTTGTGGTGTTGGCGAGGAATACTGAAAGTACCATGGATTGCCAAAAGAACAAACAAATCTGTCCTTGAAGTGCAGCCAGAATGCTCTTTAGAAGCAAGAATAGCCAGACGTCATCTCATCTACTTTGGTCATGTTGTCAGAAAGGACCATTCCCTGGAGAAGGACATCATGCTTGGTAAAGTGGAGGGTCAGTGAAAAGGGGGAAGACCCTCAATGAGATGGATTGACACAGTGGCTGCAAAGACGGGCTCAGGTATAGCAAGGATTGTGAGGTTGGCACGGGACTGGGCACTGTTTCATTCTATTGTACACAGGGTTGCTACGGATCAGAGCCAACTCGATGGCATCTAACAACAATAACAATATATATACATATTTTTTTAATTGTGGTTTCAGTGAGTTTACACAGCAATTAGTTGTCCATCCAAAAATTGATACATTTTTTGTTTCATGATGTTAGCTGCAATCCCCTCAGGGCTCTCCACTTCCTTCCCAGATTCCCTGCTTCCATTCGTTCTTCTTTCCTGCCCCTTCCTATCTTCTGAACTTTGTTTTTGGGGAAATGCTGCTCTTTCGGTCTCACTGTTCTAAGGACTGCTTCCCAGGTATTACTGTCCACTTTATAGGTCTATTGTTTGGCTAAAAGGTGATCCCCAGGGATAGGCTCAGTTCCAGGTTTGAAGGCTGTTGAAAGGACCATAATTTCAGGGGTTCTACCAGTCTCTATCAGACCAAACTTACTGGTCTGATTTTTACAATTTTTAACTTTGTTCTACATTTTCCTCCTATTTTGTCCAGGATCTTCTATTGTGATCTCAAACAGAGCAGTCAGTTGTGGTAGCCAGGCACCATCTAGTTCTTCTGGTTTCAGAGTAGTAGAGGCTGTGAGTCATATGTTCCATTAGTACTTTGGACTAACTGTTTCCTTAACTCTGATTTTCTCCATTCTTTGCTCTTAATGGGGGAACACCAATTGTTGCGTCTTAGGTGACTGTGCACAAGCTTTTAAGACTCCAGTCATTACTCAAGTAGAATGTAACACTCTTTGTAGACTATAATATGCCAACTGACCTAGATGTCCCCAAGACTATGGTCCTAAGCCCTTGAGCCCAGTGACTCAGTCCTCCAAGGTATTTGGTTATGGCTAAGAAGTTTTCATAACTTCACTCCCTATATGTTTGACTGTATACATGGATATACGTAATACATACAAATACATATATATATATATATATATATATATACACACACACACATACACACACACACACACATACATATCAATCATCTGCCAAACCCACATGCATTTCCGGATGTAGTCCTGTTTGCCTTCCCACACCTGTTCAGCTTGCTTGTCTACCTATGCATCCACCTGTAGATTATTTTTTATTATTGTTGTTGTAGGATTGTGTATTATATTTCTATAGGACAGCACTGTTCTAGAATATTCAAACATTTATTATTATTATTTAAAGAAATAAATTCTTGGGTTTATAAGCCAAAAAGACCTTAGAAAGCTTCCACAGCCCTATGAAATCAGTTTACTTTTGAGCATCATAACTCTTTTTCATGCCTAAATGATTTTTCTGCTTCTTTAAACCAATTACTTCTATTCCAATGCTTTACTCTCAATGTTTCAACTGGTTCTTTTCTGACTGTTGATTTATCGTCATGTTGTTCCTTATTATTCTCCTGCACATCAGTTTCTTTCATATATTCAGGAGCTTCCCCAGTGGGATGTTGAGATGTTGCAGCATCCATCATACTTAGAAAATCATAGGCAGGAAGAGGAGGTTTCCATTCCTCAGCAGGTAAAATTCCTGGAAGGAAGACAGAATCTGGGTTAAAGATCAACAGCTATAAAATAAGCACATGAATGTAACTCACTGCCATCGAGTCGAATCCAACCCATAGCAACCCCTCCTTGGGTTTCCAAGCTGGTATCTCTACGGAAATAGATTGCCCAGTTTTCCTTCCAAGGAGTGGCTGGCAGGTTTGAACCACCAGCCTTCTGGTTAGCAGTCAAATGCCTTAGGTACTATGCCACCAGAAAGAAAAGGTTTTATTTTGAAAGGTCTATATATGCAGGAATAAAGGCTTTATACAGTTCACTTATTTAAGCAAAGCCAGATTACTTCATTCATTGTCAAAAAGAAAACTGAAACATCACTGTTTATCTTACTCTAAAGAATAGTAACTATTTCTTATGAATCATTCCAGAAAAAAAGTTTGGAGCACATATTATTTATTATTTTGTTATTTAAACAAAGTCCTTACATTTTAAAACATGTTTTTGAAGAATATGATTAACATATTTCATGTACTTTATGAAAACAAAATAATTTTATAAAAATAATTATAGACAAAGAATAATTTTAAAATGCTTTAGAATAAATATAGACAAAAATTAGATTATTTCTCTCAGATTCACTTCATAGAAGTGAATCATAGCATTATTTAATAACATTGGTCATTAGAATAGGAAAACTAATTAAAGTCAAATATCTACAATTTAATACATATATATATATATGATAAACTAGGTAACATTTTTCCATTTAGTAGACAGATTTTACTAAAAGTTTTAGAATTTAGTTGGTTTATTTAAAATGCTATTCTGAAAAATAAACAAGGAAATGTGCAAAGTAAACATTTTAAAAATAAATTCCAGTGACTCAATCTACATACTGTTACATGAAAATAAAAGAAAAAGAAAAATACCAATAAATGTTCATAAACTACAAACTTGAGAATCTCTCAAGTTTCAAACAAATATCTTTAAGAGCTCTCTGGTAGTGTAGTGCCTAAGGCATTTGACTGTTAACCAGAAGGCTGGCGGTTCAAAACCACCAGTCTCTACACAGAAGGAAGACTGGGCAACCTGCTATATTTACCACCTCAGAAACCCAAAGAGGGTCATTATGAGTCAGAATTGACTTGATGGCAGTGAGTTTTTTTGTTTGGTTTGTAACGTCCTATATTGGATTAAAGCTCAAACAAAACACTGCATACGTATTTGCGCAATGTATCTGTACTCTTTTTACTGACATATAAAGTCTTAGTTCAGATTAGGGAGCTAAGGTAGCACAGTGGTTAAATGTTCAGCTGCTAACCAAAAGGTCAGTGGTTTGAATCCACCAGCCAGCTCAGCAAGAGAAAAATGTACCAATCTGCTTCTGAAAAGATTTACATCCCTGGAAACTCTATGGGGCAATTCTACTTTGACTAATACAGTTGCTATGGGTCCAAATTGACTTGACAGTAATGGGTTAACTCAGATTGTATAATTGTATACAAAATCCAAGTCCTTGGTGAATCAGGTGCCTAACCTTAGACTACCCCAGCAATTGATGTTTCAGATTAGTGTTGCCTAGGAGCTCTGGTAGCATAGTGCCTAAGGCACTTGACTGCTAACCAGAAGGCTGGTGGTTCAAACCACCAAAGGAAGATGGGGCTATCTACTTCCATAGTGATACTGCCTCAGAAACCCAAGGAGGGGTCGCTAGGAGTCGGGTCCAACTTGACGGCACATAACAACAACAACAACAACAAGATCCAGGTTAACAGATTCAACAGAGACATAAACAGATGGAATACTTCTTGAATATCATGGATAAACAAGAGAGGTAATTACAACTGTTTATAGCTTGCAATATGCAGTCAAATACCTATGAAGCCATTTTTAAGAAAAGATTAATTTAACACAAAGCAAATATTTAGCAATATTTATTTCTTAAGGTTAACACTACAGCCTAGTGGGCTGGGACTATAACAAAATGCCTGAAATTTGGCATCTCAATTCTGCTAATTACTTGCGGAAGGAACTGTACAAAGATTTTATTATTTTCAATTGCAAGATAAAAGTGTAATATAACCATGTATATCCACCCACTGCCATCAAGTTGATTCCAACTCATAGAGACCCCCATAGGGTTTCCAAGGATGTAATCTTTACAAAAGTAGATTGGCTCATTTTCCTCCTGTGGAGCAGCAGCTGGTGAGTTTGAACCACTGACCTGGTTAGCAGCCAACCTCCTTTTCATTAAATTAGGAATGACAAGAAAAGATAATAGCTAACATTTTTTGAATCTTTACTATATGCCAGGCATTGTTCATTTAATCTGTACAAGAGCCCAATGAAATAAGTACAATTATTATACCAATTTTATAGAGGAGAAAACCAAGGCATAGGAAGGTCAAGGAACTTGACCAAAGTATAAATCTCAAAGAAAGGAAAATAGCCAGTGGCCATAATTTCACAAAAATTAAAACCTGCAGCAATCAAGGTGAGGCAGACCCCTGTGGCATCATCTCAGAAATTTGGGCTTTTCAAAGACAGTCACTGCAACCTTTCCTCCTCACTTGTCTCAAAGTGCCACTGTGGGTAGAGGTCCAAAGAGTGGTGAGAACAGGCCCTGCTAGCACAGAAGCCAGGACCCAAGACACAGAGGAGTACTGTTTGATTTTCTCCTTAACTGCTGCAGAGGCTACAGAAATAGTTTAAGAATAAGAGTAATGAATGATACACAAAAGTGACAGAAACCCCTCAAAGAGTGAGCTGGCAAAGGCAATAACAAAAACACCATTGAAGATCTATTAATATCTCAAGAAATTCAGAAAAATAATCATGAATTTTTCTTCTTGGTAATGATTTGAGATAAGGGAATCAAAGCCCTCAGTGATACTTCTTAAAGGAAATTATCTTTACCTAGGTAATAATACTTTAGGTTTTACAGTTTACAAAGTACTTTTGCCTATGTAGTTTATTTATCGGGGGGGGGGGGGGACACAAAATAGTCACTCTATAGGCCACAGCAGAATTACCCCACAGAGGTTCTAAAACTGCCATCTTTACAGAAGCAGACTGCCACATCTTTCTCCCGTGGAGTGGCTGGTTTCAAACCTTTGACCTTCCATTTAGCAACTGAGTGCTTAACCTCTGTGTCACCAGGGCTCCTTATACTTACAATAGGAACTACTAGTCCCATTTTACAGTTGTAGAAAAAGAAACTAAGAAAGGCTTAGTGTCTTGCCTAGGGTAACAGTTTGTAACCAAGGAAGCTGGGTCCTAAGCTCAGGTTTCTGAATTTTAAGTTCACTGTGTTTTGCACAGCACACACATACCCTCTTTTTAAAAGGGGCTCAGTTTGAGAAGCACTCTGCTCTGGCCATGGCATGCATGTGAAAAAGCTATACAAGAATTGTTTTGTGAAACTTATGATCTCAGTCTTATAAAAATATCATGAAGGACTCATGCTCAGGTAGGCCAATGAATCTACTGTGGCAATTAGAAAATATAAAATAGATAAATTAAAAAAAAAAAAAAAAGTTATATGTTTAAAGGCACTGGTGATCTTTACAAGCAACAAGGTCTCAACGAACAAAAATTCCAGAGAAGGAAGCCAGCTGTCCCAGACTATTAGCTTCACAGTCTGAGATTGTCCTCTGGACAGTATTATCAGTATATCAATAATCAGTACACTTACAAACATCATTACAATTCAATTTTTCTAGCATTAATTATCTATGATTCAAATTTAAAATCCATGGAACACAATATAGAACTATATGTATTAAAAAAGAAAACGTACTGATATGACTTTCTACTCCTTCTTCTAATTTCTTAAGCCACAAGAAAAGGTTTTGTTCAGTTACAGACTGATCTGAAGGAAATGCAAATACTTGTCCTCCTGAATGCAGATTCACCAAAACAAGAAGTGGAAGGGGAGGCAGAAGGTCAAAATACACCTGCAAGATTCCTCTCCCCACAGGAGTATTCTTTCTATAAAACAGAACAATTGAACATGTTAATTAATATTTTTCTATATAAAAATCATAGGTTTTAGAACATTAAACTTTAATATGTTTTGAAATCAAGAGGTCTATGACTATGTTGCCAGCATCAGATTCTTCAAAAGTTCCCTTTATTATGGAGCACTGTGTTTTTTTCACAAGGAAAAAAGATAGCCAGTGACAGTTTTAAGTAAAAAACAGGCATAGTCCAAAGGCTTGCTAATTTAAGCTTCCAGTGGATAAGGCATTTGGCTGCTAACCAGAAGGTCAGTGGTTCAAATCTACCAGCAGCTCCACAGAAGGAAGATGGGGCAAGCTACTTCTGTAAAGATTGACAGCCTCAGAAACCCAACAGAGGTCGCTATGACTCGGAATCAACTGGATGGCAGTGAGTTTGGGTTTTTTTTTTTTTTTTTTTGGTTTATAAACAACAGGTTCTCTCCAAAGTTTAGCTAAATATTTGACCACATGTCAGCTCAAAAGTAAATGCTTATGTAACTATAAGATATAATCTTTGCTTCAATTTTATGAATGTTAAAACAAGATACTTTATTTTGTAAATGTTTCTAATGTTTATAAATGTGCCTTTCTTTAACAAAAGGAGGGGTACATTAGTTTCAAATCTAAAGAATTATAACAATTATTTTCATACAAGGAAACTGTAAATTCACAAGTTAAAGATAACTAGTTTTTCTAATGCAGCACATTCCACATTATACAAAATATTATTTTACTCTGAGATAACTACAATGATAATTATGTAGAGAAAATTTGTCTCAGATGGTAGATAATCCTGTCAATGAAACTCTTCAGGCAAAAACGTGTGTTTCCCCACCTCCATCTTTGTAATTTTCCAGATGGGTAAAAGAAAATAAGTGCGTTTCATCTGATGAAGTGAACAAGTATAATGTATATACAAGAACTGTGTTCACAGACATTAAATGTAACAAAAGCCATGTATCTAAAATAAACCAGGAAATATCAGTGGTCAATGCACTGAAATTTGTCTGTGACATTATTTGAAATTATAGAGTAGACAAAAAAGACACGGAAGGAAAATGTCAAAATATCTCAATGTTTACTTTTCTATATTTGCCAAGTTTTCCTCAATGGACATCAGTTACTTTAAAAATCAGAACAAAAAATTATTTTAAAAATTTATTACACAACAAAATTCAGTCTAAAACAAGGTCACCTTGAATAATTTGAGGGATTTTAGTTACTAAAATACCACATACCCAAACCCACTGCCATAGAGTCAATTCCAGCTCATAGTGACCTTGTAAGACAGAACAGAACTGCCTCATAGGGTTTCCACAGCTGTAAATTTTTACAGAAGCAGGTTGCCACATACTGCTATCACGATGACATACATATTGGTCTCATTAACTCCATAGTTAAAGAGTTTCATTTCCTAGTTAAAACATAGTGATAATAATTATTTACCTCCTGTAATATTAAACATTCAAAATATACCTACAGATTTAACCAGCAAGGGGTAAGTGAATCCAAATGTTTTTGTTTTATCAGCGTCAATATCACTTCTTCATACTTAGGATTTATGCTGCCATCACTGAACAAAATAAGTAATGGTTTCTGAAGTCGTAAATAAGTGGGAAGATTTTCCACAGTGATTTCTGGCTGTTAAAAGTAAAAGCAAAAAAAGAGGAAAAAACCACATGATGCACAAAATAGAAAATAATGTTCAAATCACTCATGCAATTTTATCAAATGTAATTCAAATACATTTTCATTTAAGTGAAGATTTTACTATACTGACTATTAATTTTCCCAAAAAAATTGGTATTTGCCCTCAATTTCTAAGATACCAAAAAAAAAAAAAAACCCTTGGAATTTAAGTATTTAAGTGACTTCAGTAAGGACTCCAGACTACATCTAGCTAACAGCTTAGGTGAAGTAATTAGATGACTGGGCTGGCTGGGCCAGAAAGATCCACTGCGTGGTATCTCATGATTACTTCATGATACAGACCGACTGCAGAGAAGTGGGGCTGGAGTTTGCATTAAGTAATGAGATCCCAAATAAAAGCTCTAAACAAGGAAGTTCCACAGGGTTCCTGGTTACCTCCATGCACGTAAGAGGGGAGGCACATCCCTTTTTTGGGACATGGAAGCTCTACACTGGAAACCCTCCAGACCTTGCCACATATGTCTATCCATTTATATCCTTTTTACCTATATTTGAACTTGGCCTTGGATATGAAGTAAGAGTGTGCTTGCGCAGGGAATCAGACACAGGGAACAGCATGAGAAGAGGAAGAGAGCTAATAAGACATATATAATGTCTTGGAAACAATGAAAACATGCCTGACTGTGGGGTTAAGAGTTACTTTACCTTAAGCAGTTTGGCCTTTGACGCTGGTCTTTGTGAAATAATCTTTAGTTGGGCTCCATTGGTCATTGGCCGCAGCTGAGGGTTTGCACTAATGATGAGGAACCAGTCTGCAAACCTACCTTACCAATAATGACTGTGTGGACTGGATAATAAAAATCTAAGACACTAAGGCTCACTAAACCTTCCTGTGGGAGAGATCCAGGAAAGAGAGCCTCCTCAGGAGGGACATGCCTTCTGCTTTAAGGACCTTTCAAAAATTTGCACCAATATCTCTTCATGTGGCTCTTGAGCTGCTCCTGAATTGTGTCATTTTATTCCTGCCTGGTCATATCCTGAGTTCTCCTGAGTTGTATCCTTTACCCTAATAAACCACACAACCATAGGTACAGTCTGTGAGTTGTATATGATGTTCCAACAAATTACTCAGCAGAGAAAGAGAGTGGCGTGGGGAAGGGAGCAGGGAGCAGCTGGTGTCAGAGATAATGAAGAAGTTGGAAAGCAGAGATATACTTGACCTCCACTTCCTAGGAACCAGCTTTGTGCTGCTTCTTATTCACTTACAGAAACCAAATGAAATTATTCAGTTATAGACTTAGGCATGCAAGGAAACACTTGGCGAAAGCCCTTAATAGGCTATCTAGCTCCCAAGAATTCTAAGAAGAATTTAGATCAAATGAGTAACATGATTATGTCTCTTTATAAAAAGGTGGATAACTGGAACATGAATATGTAAAAACAGAGACCACTAATGGACACTGGTCTTTCCTATGTATATCAGAAAGGAAAACCAAAGAGGTCTGTTGTTTTGGTTACCTGTTGTTGTTGTTATGTGCCATGGAGTTGGATCCGACTCATAGCGACCCCTCCCTGCGTTTCCAAGGTAGTATCACTATAGAAGTAGATTGCCCAACCTTCCTTCCAAGGAGTGGCTGGTGGGTTTGAACTGCCAGCCTTCTGGTTAGTAGTCCAGTGCCTTAGGCACTACGCTACGAGAACTCTCTTTGGTTACCTGGTGCCACTCTAATCAGAATATACCACAAATGGGATGGCTTTAACAAACTTGAGTTTATTCTCTTACAGTTTGGAGGCTTTAAGTCCATGTTCAAAATGCCAGACTCTAGGAGCTGGGTGAAAGCCTCTCAACCTTGGGCTTCAGCTCTACCTCGTATTCTTGTCCTTCTGAAGCTAGAGGCTTTTCTTCAGATAGCTGCTTGCTGCCGAGACTGACAAGTCCAAGGTTGACAAGTAAAAAGGCATCATCCCAATGTTACCAAACCACACAGCAGGCCATTAACTCAAGTCCACTCAAAGTCCCAAGGCCAATAGAGCATGGCAGGCTGCTGGACAACAATACAGCTACATGGTCCAGCAGGCCATAAGCTAGAGACCGTTCCTCAAGGCTTCTCCTTATATACAAGAAGCAGACCACATCATTAACACAGCTACTTAGCTGCTCAGAGCAGATTCCCACCATGGAGCTGACTGCCAGTCTCATCATGGGGAATGCTATATCTAGCTGCCCAGCCACTCAACCAGGCCTACCCAAGTTAATGCACAAACTTAACTATCACATCTGTGAATTTAGGATAAAAGTTAAGATTTAAAAAATCAGATTTAGGAATCAAGAGCTTGTCTAATCCCCAAAACTCACAGCCAATGGCTCGATTCTGACTCATAGTGATCATGTAGGACCGAGTAGTACTGACCCATATAATTTCCAAGGCTGTAATCTTAATGAAAGCAGACTGCCACATCATTCTTCCGTGAAGTAGTTGGTCAGTCAAGAACTAGCAGTGACAGTAAAAGTTATGAGTACAGATAAAATTTCCCAAAGAAAGACTATATCAAAAGAAGAAAAAAAGTGTTTAAGATACAATTCTAGAAACTAACAGACTAAATGAGAGTGGTCAGAGGGTTGAAGGAGTATTTGGAGAATACCAAAGTACAAAAGCCAGGGAAGGGGAGAATTTTAAGAAGGAATGCTGTATTCAACTATGTTGAAAGCTACTAAGAGCCAAAGAAGAATCAGAATTAAAGGATCATCAAAGAGTGCCAAGTCCGGTCAATGGAGAAAGAATAGTTTCTTCAACAAATGGTGTTGGGATACTATATTGCCACATGAAAAAAATGAACGTGGACCCATACATTCACAGTTTACAGAAAATTAACTCTAAATGGATAAATGACCTGAATATAAGAACCATTATATATATATATATATATACATATATATATATATATATACACACACACACACACACACACACACTCTTAGAAGAAAATATAGGGGTAAAGCTTCAAGACCTTATTTTTGACAATGGATTCTTACATGTGATTCCAAATGTACAAGCAACAAAAGAAAAAATAGATAAGTTGGACTTCATCAAAAACTTTTGTTCATCAAAGGACTTTATTAATAAAATGAAGAGACAACCTACAGAATGGGAGAAACTGTTTGGGAACCATACATATGATCATAGTTTACTATCCAGGATATATAAAGACCTCCTAACTCAACAACAAAAAGACAAACAACCCAATTTAAAAATGGGCAAATGACTTGAATAGACATTTCTTCAAAAAAGATAGCAAATCGCCAATAAGCACATGAAAAGATGCTCAAGGTCATTAGTACTTCAACTGATCATGAGTCATACTAGTCTCAGTAAGAAAAATGATCCAAAGACGTGTAATCTTTTGGCAGTGGACTAAAGAAGCTGTATGCATAATAAGTCAACAATAAAACAGAGCAACCCAATGAGTCTTCTGCTCACAAAATATCATGCCCTGTGCCAGCAAATGCTGTAGCAAAAGCTGCAAGATAAAAATACATTATCTTTAACTGATCCAGATTTGCCATTTCAAGTAACATCCTTACTATAAAATATACTCACAAATGTTTCCAGTAGTGCATTTGTTATTATTTGAACTATGTCTTGTGCATGGGTGTTAGTCAGTGGAATGCTCTCTATTATTCCTTGTTTGTGTCTGGCAAGCAGCAGGGCTGGAACAGCTGTAGCATATTTATTTGACCTATGGAGAAACGTAGTATTAAAACTAACAAGAAAAATACAGCAAATCATCAAAAACATGAAAAATTAGGGCAGGAGGTCACAGTGTGAGGCAGCAAATAGGTAGTCCTACTGCTAAGGAAAAAATGAACTTAATTCTAAACAAACTAATCTTCAAATGAGGCTATTCAAGGAAGTTCATAAATCTTGACGACCTAGATTAAAAGAAAGCAGCAACAGATAATAATCTAGCCAGAATTTTTTTTTCTAGACAACTTACTCATCGAGAAAATGTCTAAACAGGATTCAGAGCACACTGAATGGTTCTCAACCTTTTGGACTGCTCACCACATTGTAGAGTAAGGAGATGGGCATTTATTAAACACCTACTATTTATTTGCCACACACAATCCTAGGTGTTTTAGTTTTCACTTAACCCTCAAAACAGCCCTTCATAGGTGACAGCACTATTACCTCCATTTTAGAGATGAAAAAATGGGAACACAGGAGGAGTGATGAATGGCAGAGGTAAGATTCAAACTGAGAAACTCTGCACAAACTCTCTGACCAAACAAAGAAACCAAACTCCCGTACTTTTGCTTACTACACCTGAAAGAAAAATCTCTCAATTAAATAGAAAAAAAATCTGTTAACTTTTTGTGTGAAACTATCAAAGATTCATATCGTGCGTAAAAACGTAATTCATACCAAAGTACAGGCACTACAGTAAGCACTGGCAGCACAATCTTCAGATCACCTGGGAGGACCCTCTTAGCTAATAGCAGGTTATAAACAAAACATTCTAAAAACTACTGGTCTAGTTCTTTAGACTATAGTTAAATGAACATCAGCAGAGTAAAAGAAGATAGTGGGTGATTATTCTTGTGTCAGGTCTGTATATCTTGTATTTTCTAAAGACCTTGAGCTCAGTATTTACTTTTTGTAAAATCACTGCTTTCACATATAAAACAAGAGCTTGCTCCTCAAGAGCATATGTCACCAGTGTTCAGGATGAAAGATGATTTAAATTCAGAAATCACAAATAGTAACATGATAGTCAGAAAGTAAGGAAGACAACTATTGGAGCTTACCAACTCCAACTGCACTTGAAAATAAGCCATTAATGCAGAATGTGATGTATATTAATAATATTTTTCAAACCTGCAGTTCAGTCCTTCATTCTGCAACAGCTAAATTATTCTGATAGTCTGCAGAAGCCTCATCTTTTACAAATAAAGCAATTCAAGTGGCTAAAAAAGTATTAAGTCTTTACCTGCATAACTTAAAATTAGGTATTTCATAGTTGCATCACCGAAAAGTTCAGAAGAAATATCTAAGTATGGAAAAACTGATTGATTAAGTATTTATGTATGTATGTATTTATTTATGTAATTTATATATATGTGTGTGTGTGTGTATACATGTGTATGTGTATGTTTATATATATGTCAGTGGCAAATAAAAACCCAAACTCTAAAGCAATAAAATTTTCCAAAAAACTATTATTACTCCAAAGAGCTAAAAATGCAGGTAACAGAATCCAAAGAAGAAAATTTCTGTAGCATAAGGAAGAAGTATTAATCCAGAATCCAGGAAGAATCTAAATAGCTTTGTACTTTGCAGATCTTCCTAGAAGAAAATTTAAAATTTTAGTAAATTGTATGTTATGCTCCTGCCCTGTATTCCTTCATCCACTGCATAAAGAAAAACAATACAATAGACTCTTGAACAACGGGGGAATTAGCGGTGCTGACCCCTCATGCAGTCAAAACTCCTCATATAATTTTTCACTCCCCAAAGACTTAACTATTTATAGCCTACTGTTGGCCATACCAATAATGTAAACAGTTGACTATTACAGTTCTTGCCATAAAGTTATTAGATTTTCACATGAAGACACTGATGCACATACACAATAGAAAAGTTTATTAACTGCATGGCATTTACTATTCATTAAGTGTAAGTAGATCATCATAAAGGTCTTCACCCTCGTTGCCTTCATGTGAGTAGGCTGAGGAGGAGGAGGAACAGGAAGGGTTAGCTGTGCTGCTTCAGGGGTAGAGGAGTGGAAAGGGAGGCAGGGGAGGTGGCCACATTTGGTGTAACTTTATGGAAATAAATTATAATTTGTTTTGCTTTTTCATTTCTCTAAAAATGTTTCTGTATGGTCCACCAAACCTTCCACTGTTTGCTTTAGTTTCAGTGACTGAATCATAGAAGGATCCATGTTGTAACAGAAGTTGAAAGTAGCCTTGAATACTTGGAACCCCTGTGCCAGATAGCCTAACATCAATTTATTTTCTGGCTCTGCTTCTTCTACGTCTTCTTCATCATCAGCTCTGGTTCAGATCACTCATGTCCATCAAGTTGTCTTTTGTTAATTCCTCTGGTATGGTGTCTACTACCTCTTGAATTTCTCTAAGATCTGTATCTTGAAAAAAATCCACATATAAGCAGACTATGCAGTTCAAACCCATGTTGTCCAAGGGTCAGCTATATATGTTCTTTGCATAACTTCTTCCTCATTAAAATTCTAAAAGCAAAACACTTACAATATAAAAATGTCTTCTTCAGAATAAATTCCAGTGATGACAGATCCTTTTAGGTAGTTTCCTGCTTCAGTGAAGTCTTCTATTGCTTTAAATACATAGACAAGAATAAAAATTTGAATACTTTAAAATTAAGTGAGCTGTTCAATTGATAATAGCATTTTATTTATAAATAAAATGAATATAAAGATTTATAGCTAGTACCACTTATTATCAATTAATTACAAAGATAAATATTTAATTGCAGACATTTTACATAATTTAGTAGTTCTAAAATATATCTGATATATCTGTGGCTTTTTATGAAATTCTTGATCACTACAGAGACGTAAATTGATGTTAATACAACTGTAGTTTCCTACTAAATACACTCCAAATGTGATTTATAATATTTACAGCACTCTTATCAAACCAAGGAGTTCCCAGATGGTGCGAACAGTTAACGTGCTCAGCTGCTAGTCGAAAGGCTAGAAATTTGATTCACCTCAGTAGAAAGGCATGACGATCTACTTCAAAAAAAAAAAAAAAAAATCAGCCAATGAGAACCCTACAGAATGCAGTTCTACACCGGCAAACATGAGGTCACCATGAGTCAGAAATGACTCAACAGCAACTGGTTAGGCCTACAGAGTTGCTGGATTCATATTTGTTGATTTATAATTTACTGTAAGACAGAGAAAATGGAGACAGCTGCCCAACACATAGCCTGGAAAGAGAAATGGGTGAATTCAGCTCTCTGCCTGGAAGATCTCAAAAGAAAAATGCTGGTAGAAGAAGGTAAGTAGTATAGGCATGCTGGGTCCCCAAAATTTGTACCTTATGAGTCAGCACCATATTCATGATGTGAGCATCAACACCATCAGCATTGGGTAACCTAATTTTTCTTTTAAAAGAGCACATACATTTCACAAAACTCAGGAACACTGTCTATGAGAAAGCAAACTTATTAGGGCAGCATAATAAGCTGCTAGGCAGCATTAGGAGGTTCATTTACATCAAGAATTTAATGGGAAATCAGTTAAAATATTTTCTTTAGCCTGTGTTGCACCAAACTAGAAAATATGTATAAGGCAATTAGAAAGGACTGAGTGCCTACACTTTCATTTCTATGAGAAAAACAGAGCTTAATTGTTTATCAATAGTGGGTGTGCTTTATTTAAAGCAATGTTATAATGCAATCTGTCTCAGCATCTTTTTTTTTCTATAAGTGACAATGGGAAAAGATATGAATATTCCCATATAATTTCTTCATACAGAAGCCTCTCTACTCATAAATATGTTTCTGAAAAGCTCTTCATGAATCCATTTGTCCATAAACTCCAGTTTAAGACTGTAGACCATACACACATTCTCTTTCTCCTAACTCAGAGTGTAAATTTTCTTCTGAAGCTTTAAACCCAGGTATATTCTTCTCCTTGGTGAAACTGTATAGGTGTCAGTACATATGGCAGCTCAAAATTTAAAGAAATAATTTCATTTTCTAAATAAAAAGATGAAAAAGGTTTTTTGACCACCACAAATATATTTAGGATGCAGATATAAATGATGACTGATGATATCGACTTGTTTAACTATAAATATATTTTAATTGCATAAAATATAAATTAATACACTCATTTAATAATATAGGCAATTCTCAGATTAAAACAAGTTCCATGCCTAAATCTATCTTTAAGTCAATTTTGCACTTAAGTCAGAACAGTTAGGTGTGGTTTATATCTAACATCAGTCAAATGTTTGTCCTAGCATATAGTTTACTTTCTATGCATAAAAAACATTAAAGACACACTTCCAGATATATTAAAATATCTTTAACATAATAATACAATCATAATAATAATATTTTGATCTGTGCCACAAAACAACAGCCATTTGTTATTAAAAAGCCATTGTATGTACCTCAAATTTTTAATATAATAGGTTTACAAGGGTTGTAAGTAATTCAGATGTTCATAACCCAAGAACTGCCTATATTGCTCTTTTCCACTTACACTTTTTATTGAATAGTTAAATTTCTACACATACATGTATATATATACATCTATTTCTAAGCTCTGTCAGGTGAAAGCATCAAGAAGCAAGAATACCCAATAACAATTAGAAGTTCTTGACCCCAAATCTTGGTTTCTATATTCAATTCTTCACTAAAAAGACTCCCTGAAGAAATGGTTGATTCTGGAGAAGAGGCTGAAAACATCTTGTGCCAAAACATAAGCACATGGTCAAAGAATGATGAAGATATGTCAAAAGGACATAAGAGTCAGACTGAAGGGGTTCCCACTGGCCAGATCTGGGACAATTTGACCAAACTATAATGACAGAAACAGATTACAACTCACTGGAAAAATATCACGAGTTCATATAAATAAACAAACAAGGATAAGTGAAAGCACTCCCTTACACTCATTAGTATCCCAACTAATAAATGTAGATGGGAGGCTGGAGTTAGAAAATTTCCATTTGGCAACATTACAGTAATAATTTTTGGATTCTACACCTAGATTGCCAAATCATGATGTGGAACAGAACATTTAAGGTATCTCTCCAAAAGATACTTGTTAATTACAAAAGAAAAAACAATAACCTTCCAGTTGACAGACCTAGCAGATCAACTTTTTCATCAACAGTGATGAAAATTACTATCAAGGTCTTCTTGATATTAAACCCTAAGAATACATCACTCCTATGTTATTCCTACTAAAAATGCATAGCCTGAGGCTAATCTGTTTCATAATTGAAGAACATTCTATAACGTAAATGACTTGTACTCTTTAAAATATCAGCATCTTAAAAGACTGAGGAACTATTCTAGATTAACAGACATGAGGGCATAAAAATGGAATTCAAAGTGTGACCCTGGATTTTCTATTGCTATTGGGACAACTTAGTGAAGTTTATGGATTAGATAATCATGCTATATCAGTGTTAATTATCTGAGTTAATTGTAGTATTGTTATGTAAGAGAATGTTCTCATTTTTTTTTAATAAAACGTACACTTAAATACAGGTAAAGGGGTATCATATTTACAACTCATATTTAAATTATTTTTTAAATATATATTTGTATACATATGGAGAAAAAGGAAAAAGCAAAAGTAGTAAAATGTTATGCGGGAATCTGGGTGAAGAATATATTGTAATTCTTTGTACTGGTCTTAAAATTTTCCTGTATGTC